TAGAGACTCCAGACATTAACCCAAACATATATGGCCAATTAATACTTGATAAAGGAGCCATGGACATACAATGGGGAAATGACAGTCTCTTCAACAGATAGTGCTGGCAAAACTGGACAGCTACATGTAAGAGAATGAAACTGGATCACTGTCTAACCCCATACACAAAAGTAAACTCCAAATGGATCAAAGACCTGAATGTAAGTCATGAAAACATGAAACTCTTAGAAAAGAGGCTCAAAACTCACTAAAAATCAAAAAAAAAAAAAAAATGAGCCTGTATCACTCAAGATTGGTAAAAACGAAAAACTATAAAGCTGATTGATGCCAAATGTTGACAAGGGCAGAAGGAGAAAGTAACTTTCATGCTCTGGGTAGCTGTTCTAGAAAGCAAGCTGCTAACTTAAGGTATGCATACCCATAACTACAATCCCATTGGTAACTATATCCCAAAGAAATCCTTACACACTTTGACAGTACATGCCACAAAGATAACCATTACAATAGAATTTGTATTGATGGAGCTTGGAGGCAATCTAGGTATCCATCAAAGACAAAACATGGTGGACACATAGCAGGATGTGTGGACACATTCAGCAGCTGAAAGCTACAGACTAGAAATAAATACAGACTGCAACATGAGTGGATCTTAAAAATCATAAAGCCAAGCAAAAAAATATATATATATAATCTACACTCTAGTTCTGTGCATTTCTAATCAACTTCTAAACAAATCTCAGAAATGGTAAAGATTAGTATACTTCCTGTGGAAATGAGCCAAATAAACTTTAAGAGACCAACTCTAAATTGGTGGTACCTTGCAAAATTTTAAGGTCACGAAAATCCTATTCTAGATACCAACAGACATTAGCTTTCTGCTGTTAAGTACATAGATCTGAGATGGTCTTAAAAACAGATACCCCTGCAATATTGATTAGAGAAATATAAATAAGGACTACAGAAAAGAATTTGTACCTTTCAATGTATCCTGTCGGTGTTTCTACCAGACCATCAAGTCTTTCTTGAAGGGCTGCAAGAATCTGAGGATTTTGCATCATCTGAACAGTCAGCTGACGCGCTTTAAAAACAAAGAGGGCATCAAAGAGGGATTTTATGAAAATGTATTACACTATTTTAATAGGACAACCCAATCTTGAAGTCTTCCTGACTAGTCCATAAATTATTGGTATGAATAGCAATGGCCAGCAAGCTAAAGAAAATTCACTCTAGGAAAACTGAATATTCAGGGAACATTCAGATTCTTAATGATCTCTAAATGTAGTTCATCACTCAAGGCCATTGCCACAAGAACTCTGAACAATATCCTTTCTCTTCCTGCTATCTTTTATTTTACCCACTCGTATTTTGGGAAGCTCAATGCTTCATCCAGATGCCTATCTATGTTTCTTGATCTTTGAAGGCAGACAATGCGTATCAGAAAACTGCAAATACAGTGACTTTTCAAGCCAGAGACAGATAGTGCAGCAGCCTGAATGTCTGCTGCTTATATGGTGTGCCTGTGTGTATCTGACAGAAAGCTAACAGCTCTGACGGTCAAAGGCTGTAACTAAAGCCAAACAGTATGATTAATGGCAACTAAAAAAAACTATACTCAATCCAAAGATAAACTAGATTTATTTAAAACAAATTACTTCGCTTTCTGATCTTCATCAATACAGACAGTACAAAAATCACCATTAATTGTCCTAATTATGTTTTTAAAGGTAAACTTACTTTTTTTATATTCTTTTTTTAATTTTTATATCGCTAATGCACAATTACTTGAACATTATGGTTACTAGACTCCCCCTATTATCAAGTCCCCCCCCTACATACCCCATTACAGTCACTGTCCATCAGCATAGTAAGATGCTATAGAATCATTACTTGTCTTCTCTGTATATACTGCCTTCCCCATGTCCCTAACCCCCTACATTATGTGTGTTAATTGTAAAGCCCCATTTTCCCCCTTATCCCTCCCTTCCCACCCATCCTCCCCAGTCCCTTTCCCTTTGGTAACTGTTAGTCCATTCTTCAGTTCTGTGAGTCTGCTGCTGTTTTGTTCCTTCAGTTTTTTTCTTTGTTGTTATACTCCACAGATGAGTGAAATCATTTGATACTTGTCTTTCTCTGCCTGGCTTATTTCACTTAGAATAATACCCTCAAGCTCCATCTATGCTGTTGCAAATGATAGGATTTGTTTTCTTCTTATGGCTGAATAATACTCCATTGTGTATATGTAAGGTCAACTTACTTCTGATACTCATCTCATTATTGGATGATGTATAAGGTGTGACAGCCAACAAGCCTTTAGAAATAGCAATACTGGCCACGGAGGATACAGTCCTCTACCTTTTAAAAAAATGCAGCAGGATGAAGCTGAAGCTAAAATTCAGTCGTCTTAAAACCTGAGTCACGTAAAACCTGAATATCTTTGACCCATGTCCACAGGGTGCACCTAAAGCATTCCGATTCTCGCTGCCCTTTTAAAATTATTTGCTAAAGAAAACCTTGAATGACTGACCACATTTAATAAAGGTCTCTTTTTTTGTTGTTTGGTAAAAAATACATACACACCACATATTTTCCACATATTAAATACTAAACATTCACAAATAACTCTAAGCCAGCATTGTTCGTTGAGAAGTACCAGCAAAACAGCTCCCACTCCCACCTGCAGCACTTCTAAATGCAGACAAAACTCTGGGGCAGTGGCCTGGTCACAGCTCTCCCTGATGCCTCAGTCCAGTGGCAGAGTGTAGTGACTTGCAACGCCACCATACTGCACCTTCTCCCTTATGGCCACTCCCTCGCCCTCCAACTACCAACTCCTTCCCCTCCCTCTCCCACCCTACTCCCCCACAACACAAACCATTACTGAACTGAGGTATGGGCCAGCAGAGAATGTGCACAAGGCCACCTTCACTACTCCCTCCAAAAGACATGTGCCAGGAAACACTGGCTCCTGAAATAATTGAAAATAATACCTTTGATTTTTGTTTCTTCACCAGTTTCTTCTTCTTCTACTTCTTCAACATCATCCAAATCTTGGTCAAGTTCAGACTGTTCTTTGCTATAATATCACAGTATCACACCAAGATTCAAATGAACCAATTGCAAATATATATATAAAGGAAAAACTTCATTATCTAGGTTAATAGTTAATATGCCTCTTTTGAAAATATGATATAGGAAATTCAAAAGGTAATTCAGTTCTCTAACTTCATATATAAACAAGTACAAATTGGAGGCATTTGAAATTTCACTTAAAAGCATATGGTAAAATGTTAAGTTTATACGTGAAGATTTAAAAATGGGGTATGATAGGTTTTGTTTCAGAGAATGTGATGTCACAAAGTATGCTTTCTACCCAATATCTACTGATTTTGCTCTTCTGAGCACCCTGATTTTCTATGAGCTAGCAATACACCAAGCTAAATAGTCTACATTTCCCGCCTACCTTTTAGCTAGATGTGGCTATGTGACTATGCTTTGGCATTGAGATAAAAAGCAGTAAGTCTTGTAGAACTCTGAATAAGCCTCCTTTCACAGGATGGTAGACAGATTGGAGGCCATTTTGATCTTGCTCCCTCCCTAGATTAGGATGTGATGGCTAGAGCTCCAGTAGCCATGTTGGACCATGAGGCATCCTAGAGAATGAAAGTCAACAACTAAGGATGAATAAGGTAGGAAAAACAAAGATCGTGGATCCCTGATGGTTATGGAACGACCTTGCAGCCTATACTATCTTTGGACTTTCCTCCTTTTTCTTTACTGAAGTAAAGAAATGGAGAAGAATAGTGAAAGTTCAGGAATAGACCTGAGTCTACTTCATGCTTAAGTGAAATCAGAAGGATGGTTCTAGTGAAAAAGAAGGTAAGGTAAGAAGTAGTAACATAACATTTTCCCCATTTCATCTTAATAACATAGCTTTTGAACATATTATAACCAGCTTAAAATGGGGAATAAGGATATCTAAGTCAATACATAGGGAATCAAAAATCCCTTGTATTACCTGTTTAATACTTGATTTAGATATTTAGTTGCTTTCATAGCTAGAAACAGCACTTGATAACACAGAACAGCTATTGCTCCAGTTCATTTGATTCAATCATTTATTGAACATCTAAATCTAAAGGTTTTTAAACAGGGATCCATGAAGTAGGCCACATGGCCAAGTCCAGCCCACTACTACTTTTATAAATAAAACTTTACTGGAACACAGCCACATTAATGCATTTGTGTTGTCTGTGGCTGCTTTCAACTACAACAGCAGAGTTGAGTAACTGTAACAGAGACCATATGGCCCAAATACCCTAAAATATTTAGGACTAAGTCCTTTACAAAGCAAGTTAGATGACTCCTGCTTTAAAGAATCTCCTCTTCCTACCACCCTTAAAGGGCTCACAGGCATCCAAAATTAAATAAGGTGGGGGTATGGAGAGGATCAAGCTGTCACAATCAACTTAGTCTAAGTTTACAACAAAATGAGGGTTCCAAGATGAAGACAGTAGATGGCACATATTCATCTGGTTCTTAATTTTTCTAAACCCCCACTGACATTATGGTAATAGAGTTTTTAAACAAACAGTGAAAGAGGAGGAAACAAGAGCAGCAACTTCACTGAGAACTAAAATCTAAAGCTTTTCTTTAAGCATCCCTCAGCTGTGCACTCACACCCACCCCAATCTTAACAGACAACCAAGTACTACTGTCACCTCCTAGCTAAGGAAAAACTCTTACAATGAGACCAGAACAAAAAGGGGAAGGAAAAACTTTAAGAGCAAACAGATTTATACAGGGGAAGGAAAAATCCAGAGAAAAGATTTTAGTTCTCAGTGAAGTTGCGGCTCTTGTTTCCTCGTCTTTCACTGTTTGTTTAAAAACTCTATTACAATAATGTCATCTAAATCTAAAAGCAGTGGGGAAAGTTAAGAACTAGCCCAAGCAAACCTTAAAAAAGACACTTCTGGAACTACAGCAGGGGATCAAAGTGGCTGAAACAAGGAGGACTAAGCAAAATCTAATAAGCATTTAAACCCTTAGATCCTCTCTCTCACTAGGGCAGTTTCTTCTCTGGAGGGATTTAACTGGTAGCACAGACTAGAGGGCCACAGAGTTAACTAAGTAGTCTAGAGTAGCTAAGATATCTGAGCTACAGGTCATCTAAGATACAGATCTAGAATATCTAACATATAGGACTACACAGTACAATGTTCAATGTAGAAACCCCTCTCTAGCCATCCTTCTCCCAATTTGGGTCCCAGAACACTGGAAGCCAATCTTTATTTACCCAGACACTCTTCACTAGGGTATCTGACCAGCACAGAAAAAACACCATTTTGACAATGGCATTCTCACAACAGGCGTCCACCCTGATGCCCAGACATTAAGCCTCCCGACATGTGAATCTTCCACCAGCTTTTCTTTAAGCATCCCTCGGCTGTGCACTCCCACTCACCCCAATCTAAACAAACAAACAAACAAGTACTACTGTCACCTCCTAGCTAAGGAAAAACTCTTATACCAAGACCAGAACAAATAGGGGAAGGAAGAACTTTAAGAGCAAACAGATTTATACAGGGGAAGGAAACATTCAGAGAAAAGACATTGCCATCAGTGAAGGAAGAAGATGATATAAAAACAGGAACAGAAAACAAGGGCGCTCCTGAAAACTGAAACAGAAATTTAGAAACTCAATACGTGAGTTAAAAGTCTCTTCAGCTTTGCCCAGAAAGAAAGCAATGAGGCAAAGACAGAGAAAATAGGACAAAAAGTTAATTAGAAGAACCAGTCCAACATACAACACAATGGGAGCTCTAGAAAGAGAAAAGACAATCCACAAACCAAGAATATTCCCTGAAGGGAAAGCCAAAGAATTGCCAGACTGAAAGGGTGCAGACTGAATGCCTAACACATGAGATTAAGTAACAGTAATAATAAAAAGACATAACAATATGAAAATCTCAGAACTCTGAAGCCAAAATAGCTTCCAGTAATAAATGTGTTTTTTAAAGTGTCACATACAAATGATCAAGAATTATGACTGGATTTCAACACAGCAATACCAGAAGCAAGGTGACAATGGAGCAATGCCTTCAAAATTCTGAAGAATAATGATTCCCAAATTAGAATTCTACACCCAAACTTATCAAGCGTAAAAGTAGAGTAGTCATTTTCAGTTATACCATACATGCCGTATGTCAAAGTAACTTGCCTTGAACTCTTCCAAGTAAGTACTAAAGGTCCAAAAAAGAAAACAACACAGAATATAGCAAACGGCAAACCCAAAAGAGAAGAAAGAAAATGAGACCCCAGGAAGGAAGAACAGATCCACAATGAGAGCTGTCTACCCGAGGCTAACCAGTCCAGACTGCAGCCATGTGATCCGGGCGACACTGACTCAAGAGAGCCATTTCACTCAAACGCCTGCTGCCACTGTCTGCCTTTTTGTGCTGAAGACAGCAGGCATGGGAGGACTGGCCATATTCCTCTATGTACTTGAATGGTTGGCCTTGTGCTCAAGTTGCCTGCCCTCCCACCTTCAATGCTCTGCTGCCTGCAAACAGCTGTGGAGAGGCCTATCCTACTCCTGCCATCCCCGAGAGTTCCATCTTAACCTACTCCTCTACACTGGCCAGCTAGTGTGAAACCACAAGCAACGAATAGTGCAGCATATCCCATTCTTCCTGATCGTATTTCAAGACATCCACCTATACTGGAACCTTGCCAGATGCCAACTTCATTAACATATGTTTCCAGGATACAAAACCTTGCCCAACACCTTCTCCAGTCTTTGCAAAGCCTCGGGAAAACTACAACCCAGATAGTCTCTTTTATTCCCTACCTTGGAGACTTCAACTAATAGTGGTAATACTGCTTTTTTTTGCTTTACACTGCTAAGTTTGAACTGCTATTCAGACTTTCAAAATTAAACACTGATTAGAATTTGTAGGTGGTAAAACTAAAGAAAAACAAAGAAATGAATTAGACAAAAGCCAAGACTGTGCTTATGCCCCTGGAGAGGAAAGGTGGAGGATGCAATGCAGAAAGGGAACAAAGGATTTGCAATGGTAATTTTCCACTTGTTAAAACTTGCAAAAAATATCCTTTAAACTCTACATAAGTATTTTATACATTTTATCTTATATATACAATACAATGTAAGTGGTAAAATCTTTGGGAAGTACATGTGTATGGTGAAAATTGATTCTGCAAATATTTACAGTTCATTACTGTGTTCACACACTTCCCAAAGAATAAACACTGGTAAATGATATACTATATTTATGAGTGATTAAATATATTTTATCTTGGATACATGGTATCCAACTTTCTTAACAGTAGGTACCAAGCATTAATCACCATCATACATTCTCTTAATACATTATTAATAGTGCTGACTACATCACAGTACAAAGTGAGGCCAAATCTCTGAAAAAAGAACCAACTATCTGCCACTTACTTGTCAATGTCTGCCATGCTGTAAGAACTCCAAATATCTACGGAGAGAAATGTCAATGTTAAAAAAAAAAAGCATATGATTTACTTAAAACCAACAAAAACATTTGAAGCCAAAGCTTATCCCAAGAGGAAATGTATACTCCCATTAAAAAAGCTTCAGTGTTAAGAAGAAAAATCGTGGAACATACAGACTGTCTTACTAGTCTCCAAAATAATTTTTTCCAAGGACAATCCTTCAAACAATCAAGTTACTACAAAGCTTTTAGAATCTATCATGCAGTAAGGATTTTTATAATAGCATTGCTGGTAAAGAGTCTGATATATGCTAGAATCACAAAAAAGAATCCAAGAAGTAATTACAGAATAGGTCCTTTGTTCAAATTTCTTTAACAACCATGAGTGGTGAATTTTTGCTTGAATTTTTAGAGGTTCCTCAGTACCTCATAAAACAAAACTGCCTCATTTCTAGCAATATTAATTTTTATCAAATTCATGTTAAGGTCAAAATCTGACAACCTATTGTTCTCATGCACTCTGAAGAACTTTTTTAAAAAGTTTAATAATCCTATCAATTGTCAATTCTTTAACTATCTAATGACAGTTACAAAGCTCTGGGTCCCAACCCAGATCAAACCTTCCACATCTCCTCAAATGTACTTCATGTCACATCACTGATAACCACCTACCCTGGATATGCTGGCACTGTCCACAAAGTTCTTGATTATCAGATTAGAATACCATTCAAACTCATCAGAGCATATCCTGCATTCTTACTACAGTTTAGTATTAACTTGGAAAATACTGCTTTTAGAAAAAAACTTAAGGTAAAATATGCGGTATTCAGGCAAAAAAATGACAGAACACTTAGGCAGTGCATAGATTTCCTTCAAAAAAAAATCTAAATCAAGCTTAGAATTCCACATTAAATCAAGTTTTTGTATCTTAAAAATTAAAACCTTAAGTATTTAACTTACAAAATGCTATAAGATGTGATTCCTCATACCAACATATTTTATATGTTTATTACCTAAAGAGTTAAGAAATTACTGATAGCAGCCAAGTGCTAATACAGGGAGTATTATTACTGACCCAACATCCATCCTCTGGACAAATTATAAAGGAAATATTTCTTCCTAATGTATCTTACTCTATTTAACTATTTCTTACTTGCTTTAAATAATTTGTAATAGCACTGATAAATTTCTTTGGAATGCTGGGCATTAGCCAGCATTAACAAAGTATTTAGCAAACAATTACAAAGAAATACTAATTCAAAATTAAGCACTGAATCTTAGTCAAAGATACGCAAGTAGGATTCTAGGAAAAATTTTTGATAAATATACACTCCACATATGGCTAGTTTCCTATAAACTGTTATCTTTTCTGGAGAGTAAATTGGCCACAGGAATATTAAAAGCCCTAAATATGTCCATCTCACCTTATTCATTTATGAGAATCTACCATGAGAAAGTATTATACCAAGAACCTAAAGCACTATGCTTTTCATGGTCAGCCAGGTTTTTCCAATACTCCAGTTAACATATCCTTTGACTCTCAGATTGTTTTACTTCTTCAGAGAAGCCTTCTCCAATTTGTACATTCTGATTAATAAGATTTCTTGGCTGTACACACCCCTATAAAGTTCTCTTTCTTTCCATCATAAGATGCCTTGTTTGTATAAATATAATGTGATTATTTGACTAAGGTCTGAAACCCCCAACTGACCAGGTTCACAGAAGTCATGATTATAGGGTTTATATCTGCTTTTGCCAATCACTGCACTGTATTCTTCAGGGTAGTACAAAAAGCTTGTACATATGGCAGCAATAATTACTTATCTCATTAAAATAAACCCACTATTAGCATGGAATATGAACAGAACAAAATGTTGTGTCAAAATGAAGCAGATCTGAGTTGATATGTAAAGAGCACCAAAGCAGAGGTGTAAGACATACGGCAAAATCCCACCTGAATTGGGAAAAATATACCTATACATATATATGTAACACAAAAGGATATGCATACTCATATATGTACATACTTTCTTATGAATAAAATACCTTCTATAAAGATAACACCAGAAACCTAACAGTAGATTCCCTAGAAGAAAAGATTGGGAAAAAATGAGAAATTATGTTTCGTTCTACGTTATTTGGTTTTTCCCATACACTGATACATTTTAATAACATTTTGGAATTTGCTGGGTTGAACGTGTACATTCAGTGTCTAGTAAATCCAGCAATTATCAAAAATATATAACCTCCCCTTTCCCAAAAAACTTCTAAATTCAAATTTTTATAAACTTTAGTATATTCACAGAATGGCTATACTGCTATCCTGTGTCCACTATGTGGGGTTACAGTTAGAATTAAAACTCTTAAAATGAAATTCTTTTGATTCTATTAAAGAGTATTCAAGACAGAACAGGGTGGCATTTACTTCTTCAGAGATGCCTTCTCCAATCTACCACTCTAGCTAAATTACATTTCTTGGTTGTACACACTTTTGTTTTTTAAAGTATGTTTATATAGTCAAATCATTTGGGTTGACACCAGCTTCATGGAAATCTAGCTCAGGCAAACAACTCCTGGCCTTATTTTTAATCTATATAAAGTAGGAAAAAATTGTTCCTTTATTGAATTATTATTATTAAGAAGTAAACTCATGTTTATATTCTAGTAAACACTCATTCAACATAAGCTAGTTTTACATTCTGTCCAATTTGAATTATTCTTGGCACAAGGTCAGGGTTTCTGCAAAATAAGTAAGTTGATAGTTAAAATCAGATTCTTTTAGTTTTGATAAATGTACAGGCTGACCAGTAAATGCATCATGGTAATTTAAGATGTTAACATAAGGGGAAAGTGGGCAAGGGGCAGATGGGAACTCTCTAAACTTTCTTTACAACTTTCCTGTCAATCTAAAATTACAAATAAAATTGTTTAAAGTGAGAAAAAGATTCCTACACCCAATTTTTAAATCAACAGTTGCTGTGAGTGAGGGGACCCAAAAATCCACACTGTGAACAAAAGAAAGTAGTTTCGGAGGCAGGTGGTTCTCAGATAATCAGATTACACTGACAAACACAGATTTAGGTTAATTATCTACATTTATTTACTTTTTACTGTATTCAACATCAAATAAAATGAATGGTAATGACAAGCTAGATTATGCTAACCAACTCTACAAACGAAAAGTACTTGAAATTGCAAAACAGCATGGAAAATGCTAATCAAATAATAAGCAATTACTAACCCCAAACTGAAAACTCAACAGGAAGCAAAAGGATAAGCAGAAGCAGCCACTGAAGGCAACTGCCAATCTCACACTTGAACTCTGGTTTTAACTACTGTGGGGTGATATCAAAAGCCCTGGACCCATCCAAGGCAGGAAATTTTTATAGCAACCGTCCAAATAAAGGAGGATCCCCAAAGTGCTATATTCTCAGGGATCATAAACCAGTTCTGGACAAAAGCCCAAATTCACCTCATTAGTGTTGCCACCAAAACCCCAAGCGATGAGCTTAAAGTGGTCTCTGCCGGACTGTGTTCCATGAAAGGCACCTTCATCATAGGGCCTCAAAATCATCCATACGAGTAATTTTCAAGAGCAACAGGAGCAACAAAAAAATATGACAGACACCTGTCCTACTACTGTCAAAAAAACTACAAACATATTCTAACTGTAAAGACAACAGGTACCCATACTCACTACATTTGAAAACTGTGCCTACAGCAGTACCTACAAGACACAGCATCTATTAAAGGTGACACAGCACATCTGGTAGAGAAATGGGACTTCTAGAAACAGAAATAATGAAAATTAAACTAAATGGGCAGGTCTGACAGTAGACTAAACACAGTTGGAGAAAGAATTAAGCAAGCTGGAAGCAAGCTGAGAGGAAATCTCCAGCAACATCGCAGAGAGTAAAAGGACATGCTGAGTCAAAAGACATTTTGCAATCAAGTCTAACAAAGATTTAATACAAGTTCTAGTAGGGGAGAGAATGGGCAAAATATTTTTAGAAATTAATAGCTAAGAACTTTCTGGAACTGATGAAAGATAGCCTTACAAATAAATATCCCAAGCCAGGATAAAGAAACCCACACTTCAATATATCAGTGAAAAGGCAAAGTATTAAAGACAAGTCACCTCAAAAGGACAGAGAAAAGACTCAGATTAACTTTAAAGGCACAGAAGACTGACAGCTACTGTTCCTTAAAAAGACACCAAAATCCACAATGTGCTGGAAATAAGTAACGATCTTAAAACGTTACAACCAACCAAAACATCCTTTTTTAAGAGTGAAGGTGAAACATACTTTCAGGCAAAAATAGCTTCAGCACTCTCACTAATAAATTCTATAAGTATATTCTCCAGGTAGAAGTTAAGTGTCCCAAATGAAAGGTCTAAAATGCAAGAAGAAATGAAGGCCAAAGAGGGTATCTGCACAGACCTAAATAAGTATTTTTTAAGAAACAGTATCACAATGTGTAGTGTGTTAAAAAAATTAAAGTCAGTGGTTCGGGTAGTGGGGGAACACATGGATTAAAGTATTCTAGCGTTCTTAAACATGCATATTGTAATTTTTCGTTAACTCTCAAAAGATTAGAAACATGTAACTTCCAAAGTAGACGAAAAACAATTTATATATATGTATCTCTCAACCCCCAAAAAAAATAGTTTGGACAAATAGCACAAACAGATCAGATCTAAACCTAAACATCAGAGTATTTAAATTCAACATAAAATCGATTAAAGGCTCCCATTAAATTGTCACAGACTGGATTTAACGAAAATCCAATACATCCCTTTTATAAGAAATACATCTGCAACATAAGCATATAGTTTCAAAGTAAAACGAATCCTAACCGAAAAGTTGGTCACTGTACTAATGTCAAGGAAAATAAACTTTAAGAAAAGCATTACCATAGATAAAAAAGTCACTTTACAAATGAAGGTTCATTTCAATTCACTACCGAATATATGTAACCTATGTATCTCAATTGAAAGACATGGTTCATAATAACATGACGGAAGGCAAATCTTAACCTGAGAACTTGAACACAAAGAAAATCTTCCACTGGAGAAAAGGAGGGAAAGAAATAAATGACAGAAACAGACCATAAGAAATTATCCTGTAATCTTATAAAAGCAGGAAGTCGACATGGGTTATCAAGGAGCTTCTTACACTGCAGATTCTAAGTGCTCCCCACTTTCAATGAGAAAGCTACCATTTGCAGAGCCAACTTTGTAAAAGACTATTATAATAGATTTCCTTCGTATTTACAAATAGAATGTTAAGCTACTGACTCAGCAACAGAGGAGGTAAGTGAATAAACCAGTTAATTAAAATCTGACTTCCAAAACCATGCCCATTCCACTCCACTATCCCAAACGCTAAGGTGACTTCTGCATCAGCCTATCCTGCTAGATTACACAGTAACATCTAGTTATTGTTCCTTTCCAGAAAATTACTACGTCATGGTGAAACAGCCAAACATTTAAAAACTACAAATGTTTTAAAACAAGAGTTCAAAGTAACTAGCAATAATAACCCAAGGACATTAAGATTTCCCTTTACCTGACACCTCACAGCTCCTTCCAAACGCACTTCAAGTGAATCTGTATTTCAGACATTTTTGTTCTATTAGTAATATTTTCAGTAGTTCAGGGGCTTTATTTGGCTTCAACACAACCTCACAGTTATCATATTCCTTAGCTCACTTTTTCACTTGTGATATCAATAGCCAACTTAGAACTGACTTTCATATTAGAGTCCCAAGCAAAATTTTCTATCTCATAGCACTATGTATCTCTGTCCAAGGGATCTCATTACCGAGACTATCATCTGATCCAACAGCATAAAAACATGCCTGAGTTATGGTATTTGGTGACAATTCACCTAGCATAAACAAAAACGACTTACATGGCAGAGGGTGGGGGGGTGGGTAGTCATACCGCAATGTATGTAAACAAATTCCATGTTGGAAAACCTCACGACCTTAAATTAGGTTTTCGATCTTTTTCTTGGGAACACAATGCAACTCAGGCAACAGTGTTTTTAAATTCAAAGCTGATAGATAAAAGCTTAACAGTTCAAATCAAAGAAACTCCCTTTAAAAAACAATTCAAAATCCTCACCATAAATCATCACTGTTCAGTTCCTTAACTTTGGATAAGTTCTCTGACTGCTTTACACCTCAGTTTCTTCATGAAAATGTTAATATGAGCTACCTCTAGGAGTGTTAAATGACTGAATAATTTAAAACACTGCCTGACTAATCACCCAGTTAAGTGCTGTTATCACTTATCCTACGACTCTCTTTACATTAGAAAATTTAGAAAATAAGTCAAATTACAAAGCTCTGAACTTTTGAACAAGTAAAAATGTATCAAACCACAATGGTTAAAGGCAGAACTGGTAACAACACAGTCACCTTCCACAGCAAGCACAGGAATGTGATCACCTGGCCCGCGATCACTATACTGCACAACTTACCAGCATGGGCCAGAGCCAGCAACGCTCAGCTTCTAACCCCTACTCCGCCCAGCAAGAACTCACTCTGAACAACTTCGGACAAGTAGGACTTAACATGGGGACTTAGGATCACCACTGTAAGAGGCTTCTTCATGTAAACAATGTTACAAATACTGTACCCCACCCCCCATCCCCACTTTTTCTTGGTATCACTCCACACAACTCAACATTTCTCATTTAGACAACCAACCTGCCTGTTTTGCTCCCAATGCTTAGTTCCATCTATCCTCCAAAGGTTCAGTCTTCTTATAAGTGAATCACACATTTCAGAACTGGGCCATTAATTTGAACTTGGTCAACTGAGAACAAGCATGTGACTTGTAGTCCCAGAAGATCCCTGAAAACCTCATTACCTCCCATTAAGTTATTTGTTCTGTTTCCTATATCTAATTCAAAGGTAATGTGTATTACTCCCTAAGTAAAAAGGAGAGTATTCTTATAACAAGAAAACAGCACCTAAACACTAATTTGAAAATGTATTTGATGGTACCTATTTTCAAAAACGGCATATTTCATTTTACAGGTATCCTGAAACCAAGCAAGCAGTTTAAGTGCTATATTTAAAGTGCAGTCATTACAGAACTGTTCAGATTAGATGATGCTAGTCTAAAATAGGGGCTCCTTGAGGACATCCGAAGCCCGGATCATTCATTTTGTACTCTGAAAGCCTAGCCCTCACAGATAGGGCTCCATTCCGTGCTCCCTTCACCGTCTCCTTTTCTGAGGGAGAAGGGCATTGCCGAGGCAGCAGGCTACAAATTAGCCTAAATTTACATCAACGCTTCATTCCACCTTACCCCCAACTCATCTTGCTAGCTAGTTCAGTATCATTCTGGGAACTTCAATAAAGGAACCCATTTGCAAGAAAGCAATAGCAGTCCTAAGCACTGTTAAAGACACTGCTGGCCAAATCCTTTACTTCCATCTTAGAACGGTCTAGGAGACTGGATTAGCCTCAATTCTCCCCCAAATAAAAAACCCTGGTCAATACACCCACCCATATTCTAACTGTAGCTGAGGTACACACAGAAACATTTTGTTAAGAACAGCTAACAGCAGAGCATTACACGCGTTAACAGCTAAGAACTCCAGTGGAGGCCCTGCTTCGTCATCCGTCACGTAACGTTCATACTGTCGTCCGGTACCAATTCAAACATTAAGACCAAAGAGAAACAGGGAAGAGTGTGAAGCCCACGGGCTGGGCTAGCTATTCATTTTTTACATCCACCATCTCTCCAACTTTCGGCCAAGAACGCACAGCGCCAACAGGGTGTCCGATGCGGCCCAGGCGGCGGCCACGTGTCGGGGCAACCGCAGGGCTCCCCTACCGGCGCTGCCACCGCCTCCAGTGGGCGGAGAGCCCCGGGGCCTCGCGGCCCGCCCGCCCCCTGCGCATCCTCTCCCTCCCACCGGAATTCGCAGCCCCCGCGGCCTTCTTCAGGGAATCCTGTTGGGGAAACAGGGTGGTCGGCCAGGCGGCGGGCTACGCACTCGCGGCCGGTCGCACGCCGGGTCCCCTCGCTCCCTGGCGGGGCTGCCAATGGCGCCTCAGGGCCCGGGCGTCCCCTTGGCCTAGCTGCCGCCGCGCTCAGGAGCTGGTGGGGCCGGCGGCCGGGCGCACACCAGGCCGCGCCGACCTCAGCCGCTCCCGGAGAGCGCCCGCCGGCCCGGGGGCCTCCGCAGGAAGCGGCACAGCGCCCGCGGGCGGCTCCGCTCTGGCCTCGCACGGGCCCCTGAGGTCCTGGCGACCGCGGCCCCCGCCCCGGCTCGCCTCCCTGCGGCCCCACCCTGCGCGCAGGCGGCCCAGGCGCCAGAGCTTCCCCTTCCCTCCCGGACTCCCTCCGTTACCGGCGGCTAGCACGGGGAGCCAGGCGGCCGGAGCGGCGGGGCCTGTGACTCAGGGCGGCGGGAGGAAGGAGCTGGAGGCGGTGCCGCGAGCAGAGAGCGCTAAAAGAGACCCGAGAGCCCGCCGCTCGCGCTCATATACAATCAGCGTCAGCACGTAGGGCCGCTCTGCTGCCCTCCTCCGGGCCTCTCCGTCTCCTAGCAACGCGGTGGGAGGCGGGCCCAGGACGGGTTGCCAGGCAACGGCCCTGTCCTCTCCAACGACCTCCAAGCCCTCCGCTCCTGCATTGGGTTCCCGCCTCTGCCCTACTATGCGTCCCGCCAACTCTTTGCTCCCGGGCCCACTGGAAAGGAAATCCCAGCTCCCATCGCCCCGGTGAGGGCTCTGACCCGCGAGACGCAGACCAAGGGCGAGCGCTCTAGTTCCCGGCCCTGCTCCGGCCTAATTCTGCAGCTCGCCAGTCCCCGTTCCCCATTTTCTCTCTCCACATAGCTTTGCCCCCAAGAAAACGGTTCTGTCCTTCTGACTACCTCGCAGCGTCTGCCGGTTTGGCTTCTCCTGACAGTGGGTCTGCATGGTTCCGGGGGTGCTCTCCATCCCCATCGCTCATCTTTTTACTTGACCTACGAGCCCTCATTTCTGCTTTAGTTCTTTGGGTGGATGAACTGGCATATTTGTGTATTCCCCGGACACTTTTTAATGAGGATATTGTTTCGTCTTGCTGAAAAAGTAAATCCTGTGTAAATCCTCGGGCCTGTGAAATCTCATTGCTGCTTGTCAATTGATAATGGATTGACTACTATTAATTCTTAAAACAGTGGTTCTCCCCATGTGGTCCGCGGGTGCCCAGATCCTTTAAAGTGGGAGGGCAAGTGTATTTCCATAATAATACTAAAACGTTATTTGGTTTTTGCACTCTTTCTCTCACAAGTGTACAGTGGAGTTTTCCACAACCTACATAACATGTGACATGGAAGCACTGAAAACAGAGGCAAGAATTAGAATCCAGTCATCTGCTGTTAAATCAGACATGAAAGATATTTGCTAAAACTTAAAACAATGGCACTCAACTTTTTTGTTTTGGCAAGTAGTTACTTTGCACATAAAATATATTTTTATGTCAACATCTAATTGGTTTACTATTTAAAACTAACTATTCAAATTTCTTAACTTAATTTCTAATATAGATCAGTAACATGCACATAAAAGTTCTCTTTTATGTGTAAATAGATCCTGAGACCAAGAAGTTTGGAAAATCTCTAATTGTTGCATTTCTTGAAACTTCAAACTGCCTGAAGTCATGCTGTAGTACTCATGCTCAGCACCTATCTCCATAACTTTGTAAAGAATAGAGATTTTCTCCATGGCAACTCCCAGCCTCATTAAAATTAGTTGCCTTTTCCAGTCTATGCTACAGATTCCTCAGTTTACCCATTCATTTTGGTTCTTCATGTATGATATTTTGTTTCTCTCACCTTTCTTCATATACATCAACGATGTATGGCTGACATGCATTATAATAACCTCAGTATTGACTCTTCAGGAAGAATCCATAATACAAAAAACTAGGTAGACCAGTGCCCAGTATGTACAGACACTTGACACTCATTTCAATGGGGACCTCGAGAGCATTGCATTCTAATCAAAGCTATGAACAATTCAAGGTTATTAGCATATTAAAAATGAACTAAAGACTTTCACCTCCTTTCCATTAACCTTTGTAGTTGTAGAACTTCCAAGACCAAATTAAGAAATTACCCTTCATGATAGTTCCTATCTCACTACAGGGAGCCCCACCAATTTCAGTCACTGACCCAGGCTCCTAACTTCTGATGGACACTTCAGCCCCCACCTCTGTATTTAAGAGCTTATCACTGCCAGTTTATATTCACTCTTTCCCCTTATCTCCAGCCTCCTCCTTCAGCGTCCTCCTTCCCTTCTTTCAGCTTACTCAAGCCAATCTAGGAACCAACACTAATAAATTGCTAATACTGCATGCTTTTTCATGTGATCTTTTGAATCACAGTTTGTAAATCTAAACCCCTTATCATTTAAGCCTAGGAAGGTCAATTATAGATGCATTCATTCAACAAATATATGTCAGGAACAACTAGAGACACTGGAAATACAGCATTAAACAAGAAAGGCAAGTTTCTTGATTTTATTGAACTTATATTCTAGTGAGGTGAGGAGTGATAGACAAGCAATGAAATAATTTTAGATGTTAGTAAGTAAAAGAGCTATGAGGAAAATAAAATGAAACAAAGGGGTAGAAGGTGACTGACCTGAAAATAACATTGAGCTTTTCATGTTGACCCAAGACCCCCAAATCACACAACATATGTCACACATCTAATTTAATTACAGTAAATATTGGCACTGGTCACTGATCTTGGACTGTGCTAAACTTTCAGTTAAAGTGCATTTTCTCTTCATCCCCCATTATTTTCATTTGGTAGACTTTTATAGCGCTGTAGTCAACTAGTTTAAAACTGTGGATTGGGAGTCAAACAGCTGAAGTTTCATCTGTATTTCGCTGTGAAATTTTGAACAACATGTAAGTTGCTTAACATGATACCTCACATATAGTAAACACTTAATGAAAGTTAAACATTATAAACTCTGTTCTGCAGTTTTTGTTTTTGTTTTATTTAAAGATGGAGGGAACTCCCCTGAAGTCTTCTAACAGTATCTGATAATATTTTTGTAAAGTATTTTACCAAAGCTATCTTGTCACAAATTTTAAAACACATTTTTTTCTGAGCTGAAATAATCCACACCAATTACCACCAGAGTACTATATATTCCACATTTCTGAATATCAGATGCAGACACTGCAGCTATCAACCAGACAAGCTGACCACAGGAACAGTATCTTAAATGTGTCTATGTCTGTATTTCAGCCCCAAAATAGTAGGAAAGTGCATAGGCTTGAAACTCAGACTAATCCCAATACTCGGTGACCCAGCCAAAGTATTTATGCCCTCTGACCCTTACGCTACCCCCTCTGTAAAATGCATTAGTAAGTATAATGACATCTGCCTCTTCATTAGCATGAAATACAGAGATATATTTAAGCCCCCAGACCAGTGGCTTGCACTTTAAGTACTCAATAAACATTTACTTCCTCCCCTCTCATTAATCAGTATGTAAAATGTCTAAAGGCACAAGAGATATAATGAGTCTTAAGAAATATATATTTGGACATTCGATGATCAAATATGTATCTCCCAGGTATATATGGGCCTTAGGTACAGTTCCTGAAAACAACGCAGTCTTAATGGTGACATGGGTGTTTGTCATGTTAATGAGACTTTTGGACCCCACCCAAGGGCAGGGGCTGGAGGCTGCATTAGCCAATGGCCAATAATTTAGTCAATCCTGACTGTACAATGAAGCCCTCACAAAAACGCCTGAGAAGAGATTACCCCTCTTGGCTCTCTGGGATCCTGCTTCTCAGAGACATCTTCTACGCTTGGGGAACAAGCTCCACAGGGACAGAAGCTCCTTTATTTGGGACGTTGCCCTCTGTCTCTTCATCTGGATGTTAACCTGTATCTTTCACAGTATCCTTTGTTAAACTGGTAAACATGTTTTCCTGAGTTCTGTGAGCTGCTCTAGCAAATCAATCGAACCTAAGGGGGAGGTCGTGGGAACCTCCAATCTAGCTGGTCTGTGAGAAGCACAAGAAACTGCCTGGGGATCCCGACAGAATTCTGGAGTTGGGGATTGAGGGCAGTCTTGTAGGATGGAGCCCTTAACCTGGGGAATGTGGTGCTGTCTCGGGGCAGATAGGTCAAAATAGAGTTGAGTTCTCACTCTGCTGGAGAACTGCTTGTTCTTGAAGACCCCGCTCCCCCTACACACATCGGAATCAGGCTGGGAACCCAAAAGGAGTTGTAATACTGCTATACTGCTGAAGTACACTGTTATTGTTGTATATACAGAAAAGAAAACAACCTCAGCAGCCATAATAATAATGTAAAAACTGCACAAGAAATACTTGAGTAATTATTATCTTAGTTTTAAATCTGGGTGGTTTCTTCCACTTGTTTTTCCAAGTTAATATATAAATCTAATATAAAATCACTCTAAGGTCCAGTGGGGAATTGTGGGTGAATTGAGTTAAATTTTTCAGAATCCACAATCTTACTCACATTTCCCATTTCACTTGCATCCACTTGTGTTTGTGTTTACCTTTACACAGTGTTATCATATGTATATTTGTATCTATCAGCACAGGAAGATACAGAACAGCCCATCACCACAAGGACCCCTTATGTTGCCTTTTTATGGTGGTTGTTTCCTTTTTTTTTTCTAATTTACATACCACATATGGTTCTATCTTCCCAGATTTTTTTTTTTCCTTGTTCTCACAGACAGACCACTTAGGCAGAAAATTGGCCATTTCCTCTGTGCAGGTCTTCAGTATTTCTTACCTGAACTACTTGCAGTAGACTTGCAGTCAGTTTCCCTAATACCAGTCTCAGTCCTTTCTGATCTACATTGCCAAAGTTATGGTTAAAATACAAATCTAATCAAGTCTACTTTGTCACCAAACCTTCAGTGGCTCTTTGATGTCTACATGACAAAATGCCTTCAAAGCTCATCCCAATCTGAACCCCTCCACTTTTTCCAGCCATACCTGCCTGCCTCTACCCACTGTCATGAGCTCATATTTTGTGACCTTGAGCCAGACCCTCAACATGCCAAGTGTTCATATGCCCTCTGTTTTCCCCTTCTACTTATCCTTCAACATCTAGTTCAAATTTTTATCTTGTCTGGGATCCTTTCCTAACTCACCAAGGCAGATGTGGCTACACACTCTTACCTTGTGTTCAGACGACTCTCTTCTGCATATATGTATGTGTGTGTACCCATGTGACCCTCTGCTCCAAAACACACTATGCTAGATTGTTAGTTGCTCCCAGGGAGTGATTGCATACCCCTGGCTTGGACAATGAGGAGCAGGGCAAAGCCTTCAGTAAATATTTAAGAGAATGAAATGAAAGAAAAGAAGCAAGAGAGGGAGGAAGGGAGAAAGGAAAGAAAGAAATCATTGAAAACAAACCAGAAGCCATAATACTTTATTAAATAATCCTTTTATGAAGACAATTGCATCAATTCTACATTTATCATAGAGTATATGGAAGAAAAAATTT